TGAACAATTCCACAAGGAGGAATGGTCAAGTATTCCTTTGTCTAGGTGTGCAAAGTTGGTAGAGATGTATCCAAACAGACTCATTCAATTCATTGTAATTCAAGCAAAAGTTGCTTCCACCCCACCCAGTTATTCTACTTTTTTTTTCAGAAATTGTTTTTTTTTTATTAAGATGTTGCAAGGTACAGTTTGTAAATGAAACTGGAAAAAGTCAAATTTATTGGTTTTCTTTTTGAGCTTTAAGGCAACAAAAGCTGAACATTTTTAAAGGGGGTGGTGACTTTCTATGCCCACTGTACATTCTCTCCAGGTGTCATACCTAAGAACATGAAGGACAATTAACGGCTGCATTAAAGGGGTGCTGAAAGCACAAGAGAGGTTACATTTTTCTCTGCAGGTCAACCTGGACTTGATGTTTTGTACTGCCTGTTTTATTTTTGGACCCAGATAGTTTACTTTGTGACTAATGAACAATAGCCTTAAGGGACTTTCCATTTGTGGATGTAACTGCCCGAACCAGGGTGTTTTTCTCACAGTGTTACATATTCTACTTAAGTACAGATTATGTATTTCCTTAACCCTTTTAAACATTATAGACATTATAGAGGTGTTATTTAGAAGGATTCTCTGGCTTCTAATCACTTTGTAATTGACAGTTCACAAATAGCTATACTCATTACAAATCACTAAATAACTAGACCAGTTAATAAGTACAGTTGTTTATGAATTCATACTGATTATTTCAAAGATCATGGTAGTTTACATCTGATTTGTGTTGTATATATGCATCTGCTAGTAAATTAATATTGAAAATGTAGATAGACTTATTCTGCTGTATTGAATCGGAGTCATGCTGTCAACAACGCAGTGTCTCCCATCATTCAGACTGTTCCATTGGTATGAAATTTCTGATCCAGGTAAAAACACTGCTGTTTCTCCACCATCACCACTACCATGGAGGTATAAAAGATGTGCTGTTTTAGAAAAAACAGTGACTGTTGGCTAAACATGCTGGGACTCATTTTCTTCTTGGGGCAACCTGCCCACATTCTGCATTAACTAGAAGACTGGCATATTTCCATCCTTACAAAATACAGGTTATTATCTAAATTAGAATATTGTAGAGGCTACAGCCTGACAAAATGGCATGACTTGTTCTTCTAAGTCAAAAAGAGCTGTAAAAATTTTTATAAGATCCTCAAAATATGTAATTTCTGTCTCATCCCCTGTATTAGAGCACAGCTTCAGTCTGATCGAGGGTTTTAGCAAAGCTCTTGTCTGGATTATTCTAGTCATGAATAAAAAAATTCGAAGGCCTGTTTTCATGAATTCTTTGTGTTGAAAGATCTTGTTTTCAGTATGATAATTTCCCTTGTGGCTGAAATGGGGGACCTCAGCTTTTCACTGTCCTCTTTCAGTGTTGAAAATATTTAGTGAATCTTTACCAGTATTTTAATATTAATATTTTATTATGAATAATACCTTTTCCCTACGTGTTTGTTTTCTGTAACTATAATATTGTCTCAAGTCATGTGTAGAACAGATTGGTTTTCTTGGAATGTGGATAGTTTAAATCTTAACTTATAAATAAACTTTAAATGTCTCTGTTAGCTTAAGATCTTGAGTAATCAAAGGAATGGTGTTTCATACACTTGAACTGGCTAAATAAATAATTGCTATTGCCCTTTGCTGTTGGTTATTTTTTGCAATATAATTAGTTTTCTAGGATATTACATTCAAACATTTCTGATGGGAAGAGTGCAGCATTCAAATAGCTTCCAACAGCATATTAGCTGCAACAGAAGGACCTATGTGAATTTAAATGTGTTACCAGATTGATTTATCTGACAAGATACAAAAACTGATTTAGTTTCTTAAAAAACAGCCTTCTTTTTCTCGATGAAACAACTATAATGACCACATTATCTTTTTTTTTGTTTTTGGCTGAAGTTTGGATTATCATCCAAAATCATTTTAGCATTGCAACTTCCATTAAAACATACCTTGTTTAATTTGACTTAAGAGTAAAAGATTATTACTAAAGCCTCTTACTTTTCTTCGTGTTATTTAGGAATCACAGTCCCTTAAATTACTGGAAGAGGGACATGTGGAACAAACAAATAGACAATGAACCTTATTCTCAGTGAGCTAAATACCTTTAGAAAATCAATGCCAATGTTCTTTTTTCTCCTATCTAGATAGGCAGGTCTAAACATATTTAGACTATCCACAGCATTAAGAAATAGCTTCGTAGTGTTTTGTTACTTCCAAGAATTTTGGAAAGGTGAAAGAATAACAAATCGGAGCTTCTGCAGACTGATTTTATAAATACTAGTGGGTGCAATGTAACAACAAAAAAAAGATAGTGCTGAAAGTAGTTTAATATCACTCATGTATTTTGCAATGTGTTTCATATGTTTCTCTATTAATGCTTGTACACATTTATAGATAGGCATATTAGTGTTGATAGAACAGAATATTGAATACATACCTGTCAGTAGCTCTTTCTAATTTGAACTCTGAAAATCTGGTGTGACAGGGGAGAATACTCTTTGGACTCTGAGAGGAAACCTCTGCACTCAGAGAAAACTGATTTGAACATGCGGAGAACATGGACACTCCATGCAGATAGCAACCCAAGTCCAGGATTGAACCTAGGCCTCCAGCGCTGTGAGGAAGCTATGCTAACCACTGCATCACCATGCCACCCTTTTCTATATAATAAATTAAATAATTACATTTCTTAATGTGTTGCCCTGTACAAATAGTAACAGAACAGAATTTGATGCCAGTATTCTTTCTGTGAAATTAGGGATAAATTATTGATTTTCACCCAGTCATAGGCTGTAGAACAAAAAAACAGGTAGTGAAACTGAGATGAAATTACATAAATGAAGGATGAAGTGAATGAATCCGTACAGTATATTGACTATAATTATTACTCCACAGCGTGACATGACCAGGTCCATGAGAAAAGGCATGATGCTAATGTGATAAAATGCTGTTCTTGCTTTGATGCAGGTAATTTGTAAGCAGAGAAAACGTTTTTTTTTTTTTCAAAGGAGCTGGAAGCAGCTAATTTAACATTTGTTCAACATCAGTTGATCTTTATGCCATTTTTATAGTGTGTATTGCATCGCAGATAATCCCATCACCTCTGAGAAGAGTATCTTTATAACTGTACATCCATTTGACTTGAAAATCAAAAGGCATATAGATGGATACATTCATGGTATCAGAGAAATGAAAATGACCAAATTGTTGATATGTCCCTTGTCCTGACCAAGATCCAATTCAGAAAAAAATCTCAGCTTCCAGTGGTCACTATTTCTCTGGCAGTTTGGCTGTGATGCACTTAATCCTGTACATTTCCACATAACCAGATGATCACGATAATTGTTTCTTTGTATTATTATATAGTATTATTAGTGCTACTGCTTAGCTTGTAACAAATGAGTGGGTGGACTCAAGCTAAAATGTAAATTTTAAATTCATTATACTTTGAATTTGCAGGTATTCCTATTTAATTAAAGTGTATTTTATAAATAGATAGGATGTACATTTTGCTTAACCTTATTCTTTAACTGAAAAAAGTTACTTTGAGAAGTAATGCTGATAATCAAAAGAATTGTCCAAACTGAACCAAAAATAAAAAAGCAAATAAATCACATTTACATACTATAGAAAACAACATATATGAGATTCACTCGATAGTATTTCTTCTTGCCTTTCACATGTATAGTATGTGATCCTTTTGTAAACCCTGTGGTTTTCAAGTGACAAGCCAGCTCACCTATAGTGATTGTCAGAGATGATACCAGCCACTCTATATTTTAAGAGCCAAAAGCCAATATAGATTGAATATGAAGCAATTTTTCAGTAGCCTAATATGTTTTATGCTTTGTAAATTTGTAAATTGTAAATATCAGGTAACTAAAAGATTTACTTGAGTCTTGAAAGTTTTGATTTCTCTTGTAGAATTTGAAAACATTTGTACCTGATTCTGTTTCTTAACAAAGCTCACAAAAGTCTGATCATTGAAATATATATATTTATTAATTTAAGTTTGATAGAGCTATAAATTTGATAGAGAAATTTTGTTCTGCCTTTTAATTAAATTAATACACAAGGCATATGAAATTAAATACTTATGATAATGCTTTAACTAAAATTACATTTATGGTGTTACCTAATTTGGCCTCCAGTGGTATAGTTTTTCTTTGTGCTTTTAATTTTCTGCATTAGTTTAATAAAGATTTTTTTCAGCATACAGTGACGTAAAAGTGAATTTTGCATCTAGAATACAATGACTAGAGTTCTAGGTTTTTAGAGTGCAATTAATGTTTAAAAGAAGGTAGATAAGCAAAAAGTCAAAGCTGATTTACACTGTCTTGCAGAAGTATTAACCTCTTCCAACAGTGTCACATTTTGTTGATTGCAAATGATTTAACATTATTAAAGTGAATATTTTAATAAAAACTTGGATGCTAAAAATGCACATTTTCATGTGTGAAAGAACCTTAATGTATACATACATATACATACCTTTTTTAATTAACAATGTGAAATCATTGAAAGGGAGTGAATATTTTTGCATGGCACTCTATGTATTTTGAATCATTACTGCAGGTAACCAAGCACAATATCGGTCTCTGCAAAATGGCACATGCAGCTGAGTTTTAACATTTAAAGCCAAAAAAGATTTAAGTCTATATTTTTGTACTAGTACGTCAATTATTCAGTACACTGGCTATACACTATATATGCTATCTTATTCTCTTTTGATCAGGTGTTTATTTTTCATTCTTCATTGGTTTAAGTACCTTGATGAAGTGAGTGGTGAAGAACATATACTAAAATTACTTTTCAATGTATCAAGGTTCTCTGACATGTCAAAACTGATTTCCAGATTAAATTAAAACAAATTTGTCAGCATTTTGTTAATTCCCTACTGATAAACAAATCTTCTAATCTAAATCTTTTTTTCTTCCCCCAACCAGATGGAGTGCTTCGTGAACTCAAGATTTTCCATCATTCATGTGCATTGAAGATGGATGAAGGCCCATGCAAAGCAAGCAAACTCAGTTTCTATTTTAACATTAATACTCATAAATGTGAAACTTTTCTGTATGGAGGCTGTCTGGGGAATGCAAACAATTTTGAAACCTTGGCAGAATGTGAAGAAAAGTGTTTAGTAACACGTAAGTTTCTTTTTAATATAATTTCTTCACCACAATATTTTTAAAAGTAGGAGCTGCAGATGTGGACTATGAATTTGGCTAAGCTGATGTTGATATACTATATCCTGTCTTTTCTAACTGCTTGAATGTAGTACATATTTATGTTTACACATAAACCAGTGATCAGGATAAAGGGAGTACACACTATCTCTTGACCTTTTCAAAGGAAATTGCAACAGAGGACATGTTTTGCTATCCTTTGACTGCAGTGTTAAGAAAATAAGCAATCGCAGTTTCATAGGATCTTGGCATCCTGTCTTTAAAGTTTAGTAGCCTTTCATCTTTCAGTTCAAATAATCTCCCAGAACAGATTTGTCTTAAACAGTTTTGTTCCTCATTGTAATTTTCAAACTGCTGCACTTGGTTGGTTTAAGGACAAGAGATTGACAAGGCAAGTGCATACATTTTAAAGATGTTTCTTCCTCATTGCAGTTGAATCTGTCATATTTCTTAATGTCATCATCATGTTGGGGAAAAAAAACCTTCACTCATAGATTGAATTTCTGGGTACTGTATGAAATTAAACAATAAAGCACTATTAGGACTGGATCATGCATTCATATCATTGCACAAGCACGCTTACCCCAGATCTTCAGTTTTTTACCACTGTACTTTACGTTGGCACTACACAAGATTTGACTTTTTTATTTCTCCTACTGTTTACTCTTAGAGGTGACATTTTCAAGCATTGTTTCATGTCTTCTCCTTTTCAATTATCTTTTGATCATCCATCTAGTATCACAAAGCTGTATATTCTGGATAAGGGTTATAGCAGTTTGGAGCCTATCCTTAAAGCACAAGGCACAAGTCACTGTGGACAGGATGCCAGTCCATCACATGACGTACACACTTATGTGCATAAAATGGTGGCTAGATGGCTCTGTAATCTTTTAAAACGTCTTCAGCATTTACTGTCCATTAATCATTTTTTATGTTTTCCTTATTTTAGCCAAGGTTTTTTAAGACACAACTCTATTCAACACATGTATTCTTTAAGACACTTCTCCCCCTTTTTTCAGAGGGCAACCTGATGTGAAATTGAAATGATCAGTAAATTAAGTACTGGGTAGGGAATGCACTTCACTGTTTACACATTTTTTTATGTCACTGGTTGATGAATGCAGTATTCACATCTGTCATGTAAGAAAGCAAATATTCATTACAGAATAGTGCTCTTTTCAGCAGCTGACATTATGCAGACAGATGATCTGGATAGCACACCCCCCAGTTCTCACTGATGGTTTTTATGATCTGTTAGATGATGTTAGGATCTTTAATGTTTTGTTTAAAACCTTTTTTTTTTGGACGATTTGAAGTAATTTAAATTCCTTTGAATTAAAATGGTATATGACATGCAAGAGCATAGAATTCTGCTGTTTAAGGCCCAGGACTGTAATTTGTAAATTTAAGGCTGTTAGTTTACCACTTCTTTATTCATTAAGGTAATAATAAGTAAGAAAACGGATGAAGTCATATAGCATCGTGAATGGTTTGTGACATTGCTCTTTTTTAGCTTAACGTATGTTGCTTGAGTGGTATTATTGAGTAACATTTAAATAGAAGTACACTTAATTTGGTGGTACAGAGCATTCGTTATGTCTTGAATATGGTACAGTACATTTACAGACATAAAAAGCTATGGTAAGCCGGCAGTCTAAATTACAGCTGAGATGGAAATGTGAAATGTCGTGAATCATTTCATGAGGTTCAGACCTATCTTTGCTTTGTGCTGCTAAATTCATTCCTAAATACTTAGGCAGAATTTTCAAGCCCTCTGTAAGCTTATCACATGAACATTAAAACAGACTTAACCTTTTGACTATGTAATATCAATTTACATCCTTCATTTACATTTGTATTAGTCCTAGAGATGCTTTTAAAGCACGTCCCCATCTGCAGGGGTAATGTAGTAGTATGTGAAATAATTAGCAGAGCACATGTGACTGAATTGTTCTATATGCTTTTTTTCAAATTCAAGACTGAAAAAAAAGAATGATTCTGACATACCTTTCTAAAAGGTAGATCTGGATATTCAAAAGAGATACAAGCCAAGCAATCTGAAGTATTTGCCCTGATGATAGACTGGCACTTTGCAAAAAATATTTTAATTAATCAAAAACACAAACATTGTTTGCGTTTCCAAATAAAATGAGGTCAGGATATTAAATATTTTTTTCAGTGGTATGCAGGCCGCCAGCCAGGAGTTAGGAAACACTTTATTTCTTATAGATGGTGCTAAAAAAAACTATCATGCTATCTGGCATTGTCTGCTTTCATGGCAGTGATCCAGCAAGTGTAGATTGTTGATTAGATAAGTAGACTGAATCATTTTACTATCATAAACAACCAACATTTGAATGTATATTATACCGGTTATATGTTTACGTGTAAATGTAATGCTGAAAAACTGATTCGGAATAATTAAGGCATGATAATAAAATCTTCTCAATTGACATTTTTTGTTGCGTTTTGTTTTGTTTTTTTTGCACGCAGTGGTTTATCAGTTTTAGATTTTACAAGATTTATGTCCCTATTACTTTCCAATTTATGTTTTTTCCCTTTATTATTATGTACAGTATATCCTATCATCTTATTTGCTTAATTCTTTCTATTTTTACCCTTACCATTGTTCATCAATGTGATTTAAGATCATTTGTTTTAATTCCCTCTCTGTTTAGCTGACAAAAACCCCTGCCACTTAGAGGAGGAGCCGGGACCCTGCCGAGGAGTATTAACTAGGTATTTCTTCAACTCCTCAGCCCAGAAGTGCGATCGTATGATTTATGGAGGTTGTTTTGGAAATGCCAATAACTTTAAAACATTAAAAGAATGCCAGGCTACCTGCCATAAAAAAAGTAAGTACTTAATGAAGTTTATAACCAAAGTTCGGGCGGAAGGTTAGATCTTAATCTCTTGCACTTTTTCCCCTCTTTCCTATGTATATATATCAATCTTTGTCATGCACGTCGGACTTACCTTCGCACGTCTTTCTCATACCCCTCAAGCTACCCCGTCTACACCCTTGCAGCAGCTCCCTAGCTCATTCCTTGCAATGGTGAAGTGAAGGTTTAGGCATCCAAACAGTTAGGCGAGTCACAAATATCAGATGCACTCTACACATTTAATTTCTCTGTCACAAACATAAGGAACTAACCTAACATCTGAAAATTAATTTCTTGTAAAGGTATACATACAGTGGTAGGTGGTAACACCATCATCCCAGAATTCAGTGTAATCCTAATTTGTCAATTTGCTATCTAATTTCAATTTAGTGATGATTTTAACAGAATATAGATAGAGTTCATCTCTTCTTAGGTTAACCCTCACACATAAATTCCTCCTTTAGCAAAAACAGTATTTAAAAAAATATTTTATTATCTCTCCATTTAATTTATAATTGCAATGTAGTTCTAATGTAAATAACTAAAACATTTGACTGTTTTCTTCAGACATGTTCTATCAGTGATCATTTTCATGTTTTGTGGATTGATTTTAAAAGCTGGCTCCCAGCTCTAGTTCAAGCATAGTACAATCTCATCAGCTCTCATCAAATAACTTAACCTTTGGAATGTCATTAGACGTTATGAAAAGAAGGTTTTTCAAAATATTATACTCATCAATCTGGTAATTTTTTAGAAATTCTGATCTATATTTAATCAAGTCACCACAATGAATCATGCCAATACTGAATGCTTTTTCTGCTCTTTGGAAGGCATTGCCAACTTTAAATTCATATTTGCCAGTGAATTGCTGTGCCTTGCCCAACTGCATTAAAGTGATTTTGTTTTCAGGCCTAAAGGAACAGAAGAGAAAGAGCACATGCATATTCAAATGTTTCTTGAATTGCTGATTCAGTGAAGATTTGTAACCATCACAGTTCAAGCTACTACTACTAATATTTCATTTCATTTATATAGTGCTTTCCATCTCAAATTAAATTAAAGTGTTTTACACATAAGAGGGGACCACTTACAGTAAAATGATATAAACTTCATTAACTAGTTAGTAGATTTTATATGTAGAGTAAGTGTATTCTCTTCTTAAGTAATGTGATTGTGCTGCACAGGACCATTCTTTAGCGAACCTCTTTGGTTTCCTGACCAAGTTTTCCATTGGCCTTTCCCAGTCATGCCCTCCTAATATTCCCCATCTATGAATTTGCTTCATCACTCTGTTCTCGTCCCCACTGCGAGCTAGTGTGGTGAGTGTACTGGTGCATTATAGCTGCTGTTGCGTCATCCAGGTGGATGCTGCACACCGGTGGTGGTGGAGGGGATCCCCATTACCTGTAAAGCACTTTGAGTGAAGTGTCCAGAAAAGCGCTATATTAGTATAAGAATTATTTTTATGAATTCAATTAGTTTTACAAAACTGGTAAGCATTAGCATGAGCCATATTTAAAACTACAAAGAAAGCCTGCCTTAGTGTGTAATGCATACGAAGCAGTATGCAATTGTATTATTCAATCGGGGTGGGGGTTTCAGATTGGCAGCTACTTGCACTTGTTACAAGTGGTAGCTAGGCATCACTGTTGGTGATATTGGTGCTGCAAGCGGGGCAGATGTGTTCTCTAGACAAGATTCGTATTTGTAGTTTTAGAAATTATTAAAAAACAAGCTATAGAATGTGAAAATATAACTAACAATGCAATGTAATGGAAGAAAAGTGTAATTAGGTCAGAAAGCAATCCATAAGTCCATTAAGTCAATAAAAACACATTTAAATGAAGTGTTGAATGCAATTATATTTTTTATATTAGCTGTGGTAGATGGCTGGTTGCTTACCTTATTTAGAGGACAAAATTACGAGAAAGAGGTATGTTTTTTTTCTATAAGATATTATACTGGATACTTTCATGAATGTTATACTTTCTATATGGTTCACAACACAATTTTGTTGCATGCAGTGGTTTATCAGTTTTAGATTTTACAACATTTATGTCCCTATTACTTTTCAATTTGTTTTTTCCTTTATTATTATCTACAGTATATCCTATCATCTATTTGCTTAATTTAATGCCACTTTCAGAAGCTTACTTTAGTGCTTTTGATGTGCTTAACCAATAAATTAATCCTATATTTTAAGCCATAAAAAACAAACAAGCTGACCTTGATTTTTTTTTTCCTACAATTTTCCGACAACTTGTCCTAAACTGCTTTTTCCATTTGTTTTGTATATAGAAAATGTTGCATAACATTCCTAGGATTATTTTTTCAGGCATCCAATCCTTGAAATCAATTTTATTGCCAAGTATTAAAATGCTTTTAGTGCTATAGTTGTATGAAGTAAGGCTTTCAGGAGAAGAGGTGCAGGTCTTCACATGTTTTTAGAATGTTTTTTTCTCTTCTTAGCTATCTTAGATCATGCCATCTAAACATATGCTTTTCATCCAGACTTATTAAATTATTTTTCTTCTCTAAAGTAGTCATTTTTCATTGTTGTGTGGCAGCAAAAAAGGTAGTTTTTAGTCTATATGGGTGATCACAATTGTAAAGTGGTTTTTAACAAATGTGCATTTGTAAAAGGAGGATAAGATTTATTTAAATAGATTCTTAATGCTAATCACATTCTCTTTTCATGCAATCCAAGCAGAGCCTCACACTGTGGAAGATAGTGACAAACATACTGATATCCCAGAACCAAACATAATACCTGTGATTTATTTTGGTAAGTATTTTTTTGATAAGAAGTGATTACATTTTATCAGTGAAAGGTTAAATACTTAAAAGGATAGTTATGCTATTGTATAAATTAGAAAGCATTTATTTTTAAAACTTTTTTGATAATCAAATATTTGCATCATTTAAACATACATTTTATCTGTTATTAAACAGCAAATCTGTATATAGTGGATCATGTGCAATAAACAACACTACAGAATATGTTAAAAAGCACAGGCTTCCAAATAGCTCACCTACCTATATTGTTTGCTCTGAGTTGGGGACTATTGCCCAGACGTCTATGACTTGGGGTCTGGGTCATGTGACCACATAAGACCAATGTAACTGGGATTCCCCAATAGCAGCATACAATTTTCAGAGAATGACTTTAGTTTTTGTTGGCCAGGGTGGTTTTGTCTTGAAACACTGTAGCAGGAGACATTATATTAAACCAATTAGTGCTCTTGTGTTGGGCACTGTGGAGCTTATTAGTATTTCAGAGTCCTCATTTTCAGACACAGGTGTATTTTTGAAGAAGTGCTAAGATTAATTTTGCGCTGAAAAAATAATTTTATAAATGTAAGCTTTCTTGAATGGCTTAAGTAGTAAGCTGACACTGGTTAAGTCCCATAGTTCAGATATTAGCAGTTCAAGTCTGTGTCATTTCATTAATTTGCTTTAACCGGGAGTCCCTCGGTCGGAGGATACAACTGGCTGAGTGTCATCACCATTACAAGAGTCAGCTAGGGCTACTTTGGTTTCTAGGGCTTCCTACAGCAATTTCTGAGACCTGACAGACATTCAAGCTAACAGATATATAGTAAGCTTTCCTCGGCTACATGACTTTGACAGGTGAACATGATAAAGGAGTTGTGAGCTAAGGTCCTCATAGGTAACTTTATACAATAATTGTAATAGTTGTGGTAATTCTGTTCTGTGCTGTGTATAGTTTAAAAATATATCAGCAATTACATTCTAAAACCTCCCCAAAACAAGGACTTCTATGAACAGTAGCTGCAAACAAAATAGGCTATATCAGAGATATATTGATAGAGAATTAATTTTGTTTTACTTTCTTGAACAAAATTGATAGTGAACAAACTTCACAGAGTAATTAAGCATTGACTGGAAATCTGTAGAGCACATATAAAATATCTGCTTTATTGCTACATATTTTAGGTGGTGTATGTGTGAAAACTACTAAAAGCAGGTTAAAACTTGTCAGAAATATTCTGTATATGACTTCTAGCACTTGTAGAGTATATAGAAGTTAGAAACTAAATGACTGAATACTCACAATATCATTGTTGACTGGGGAAAAAATGAGGTTATTGGGTCTAACAACAACTATATACTGCACTGAAGGAACAGGTGAGGAATATCAAGTACTGTTTTCTCCAGTGTGTCCTGATGTGCACAGGGAGGTAAAAAAGCAGTTTGTGGTTTCCTATGCTTTTTTTTAGTTCTGATTTGCAGAGATTTGTATTGCTTATACACAGGTTTCTGATGGTGTAGACTTCTAAATGGCATGGGTGACCTCTGATAAATGAGTGTCTGTATCTAAAGAAGAAAGGTGAAATTGATTAAATTTTAATGATACTGCAGCAAAAATATAATTTTTACCCCTTCAACCTAGAGTTATAGAAAATGGATGTATGTGTAATTCTTCTAATCAGTGTCAATTTAAAAAAAATGGAATTGCGCTTAAATAAGGAGATCTAGCTTCAATAATACTTGTAGACATTTGATAAATCATGAGTAAAACTAAGAAAATAGTAATTGATGGTAAAAAATTTCAATGTGAGAGTTTTCTCATTTTTATGTTCAAACTTTAAAAACTCTGTTTTTACATTAAGGTATATTTTATTGAATTATGTAACTGGGATATGTCACTTAAACCAAATCAATAAATGCTTTTTAGGAGTAACTATTAATTCGTAAATTATACCTTTGAAAAGGTAAGTCAGAGCATGTTTACTATCACCTTCGGGTATAGATCTTGTCATATCGGTTTCTTTCCAACTGGTGATTAGAAGGCTTTCATTGCAACCTGGATAATATTATGTTTACCAGATGAATGCAGTGCTTTTGTGAGCTTAGCAAATGTTGCTAAGGATCCTGTATAATGTTCAGACTCCCTTAGTGAAAGCTCTTTTCAACCCCACGAAATTGGATTTTGGTCATGGTTATTATAACAACAGGGATTGCTAATGGGAATAATACCTTTGTTGGAACAAACACTTCAAATAAATGAAAGATTTGGGTTGTCCTGAGGTATTTTACACCCACCACTTGTATGTTAAAGAATTTTAAATAGGAGGAATAAACTGTATTATTTGACTGTCTCTTGTTCTGTGTACTGGACTGTAAAGTAGTAGATCCTGAGAATCAGAGTCTTTTGTGTTTTTTATGGTATTTAACTTTATATCTATAAATTCTTAAATTAGTTCCAAATCAGCCACTTACATTTTTTCAATATTTTATGGAATGGGAAGAGAAAAGCCTCAGAACTCCAGTTGCCTGAGAGGCTGGATTGAACACAGTTTAATTTATGATAACCAATTAATAATTGTCTCTTTTTGAATATGGTGTTTCATTTAAACCTATACTGAGTATCAAAAGAGTAATTTCATATAGTTAACAGAAAGAAATCTCTTTTGTTGCAGGTGACATTGTACATTCATTATGCCACTTAACATATTTGTAACCAACAGGGGAAATCAGAGGCAGCAGCATATAGCCAGTACATATAGCCACTATAAGAAACAATACATTGTTGTATGTCTGTGATGGATGTTTTGCACCCAGTTGCAGACAAGTCATCTTTTAGGATTCTGCCCCATTTCTCTCTTAAAGCCTAGACAGCTGTAAGCCTGTTCACTGGTCTCTGAGCTCTAGATGCCACACATTATCCCTGATTATCCCTTAAAAGTTCAGTGGGACTTATACAGATGCAGCCATTCAAACTTTGCAGAACAAACCCGTACCGCATGCAACTAACCACAACCCACCGTGGCGTACTGCGGTACATGATTAGCTGGCCAAAATGACCGACGGGGGCACTCGTGGTGCATTGGTCGGTACAACTAAAGGGAATTTTTAGTAGCTGAGCATAAAAGGAAGAGGAGCATAATGCATCTAAAGGTCACAAACGATATTGGTTTAGAAAGATAAACATATTATGTAAATTGTATATTGCTGGTATTGGTAGTTTAAAGAACAAATACACACCAGTATCCCATTTCTCCCTAAACATTTTAAGCATCAAAGTCTTTCATGTGGTTATTTCGGAAACATTTTTACGTGCTCCTTCTGACCATATTACTGTACGTTTATATACTTTGTGAAAATTGATAATTTTAACCTTTTCTGCGAATAGGCTCGTTATCAGAGTAAACAAAAGCATACTTTTAGAAATTGATTAATAGGGAACATAATATGGAATCGCGTATCTAAAGAAATTAATAATATAATATATGTATTGCTGTTTCAGTGTCACACGACTGGATCAGTAGCGTGATAGCTTATGTGACTGACTTATAAGCGTGAGGTCGGGTGTTCAAATC